TCATGGCATAAATCAGAGCACCTCCCAGGGCCAGTTCCAGCAGCAGGGAATTGTTATAACATAGGCGTACCCTAAGCTTGCCCTCTTTTCCCCAGACACAACCCTGGCACTCATGCTCAGAAGAAACAATAAACATCAGAGCCCAAGCAAGGACATTCGTCCACTGACCTGCTAGGCAAGTTTAGGGAAGCTTTGCATTATCAAAATCATAAGCATTGCCAGACTAGAGCAGACTCAATATCCACATAGACCAGTATCCAATCTCTGACGATGGCCAGCATCAGATGCTTCACAAGAAGGCGTAAAAAATCTGCAATAGGGAGACTTGGGAGAATCTGCTCCTCACATTAGGTCTTATCCTGATTCCTAATAGTTAGAGGTTGGTTTAAGCCCCAATGCATGAGTTTCAATATCCCTTCCGAAATGTGCTGTAATTAGGACAACTCCCATGCAGTCTTGGATGGTGACCCAGCACATGTTGTTCATTTTAAGAACACTTTCACTGCAGATTTGACAAAAACGCAAAGAAGGTACCAAGGTGAGATTTCTACAGATAGCTACAGCACTCAACCTGGGGTTTAAGAATGTGAAGTGCCTTCCAAAATCTGAGAGGGATGAGGTGTGGTGCATGCTTTCAGAAGTCTTAAAAAAGCAATGTAGTGGGGCAGTTATCCCGCTCTGGGGGAGGGAGGCTGGGCTGATTGGGGAGGCAGCTACAGCTGGGGCCATGCCCCAATCAGGCCACACCTGGCCCTGTTATAAGGGCTCAGGGAGGAGCTGGGTCATAGTCTCTCTCTAGCTGTGGAGAGAGAAGGATCTGGCGGCCTGGGAGCAGGGTATCAGGTGCAGAGCAGTGCTGGGGAAAGGCAATAGAAGCTGGGGAGCTCCAGCCTGGAAACTCACCCAAGCTGAGGCCTTGGGTAAGGACAAAGCAGGGATTGGCATTGCAGAAGTGCAGCCTGGGGCTAGGCAGAGGCAGCTAGTCCTACCCCCTTGCCGATGATGAGTAGCCATTACGGACTGCAGTCTGCCCCAGTGAGAGGGGGCTAGATGACTGGCAGTAGTCACTGAGGCAAGATGGGGTTAGAGGGATGGGGGTTCCCCAGGGAGGGGAGACCCAGAGGGTGGGGATGCTGTTGGGGCAGAACCCTGAGGTAAAGGTCACTGGAGTCCTGAGAGGGACGTGGGGCCTGAGGCAGGTGAGACACTGGCCAGCAGAGGGCGCTCTGGAGCTGGACATGAGCTAATTCCCAGGACGACCAGCAGGAGGCGCTGAGCCAGTAAGTCGTCGTCTCGCTACAAGCAAAACTCTGATGCAGAAATTACAGAACCTGAAGCACCAAAAAAGAAAATCCACCTTCTGCTGGTGGCATTTGACTCAGATGATGAAGATGAACATGCATCGGCCCACGCTGCTTTGGATTGTTATTGAACAGAAACCCGTCATCAGCATGGACACATGTCCTCTGGAAGGGTGGTTGAAGCATGAAGGGACATATGAATCTTTAGCGCATGTGGCACGTAAATATCTTGCAACACCGGCTACAACAGTGTCATGAGAACACCTGTCCTCACTTTCAGGTGAATTGTAAAGAAGAATCAGGCAGCATTATCTCCTGCAAATTGTAACCAAACTTGTTTCTCTGAGTGATTGGCTGAACAAGAAGTAGAACGGAGTGGACTTGTAGACTCTAGAGTTTTACATTGTTTTATTTTTGAATGCAGTTTTTTTTGTACATAATTATACATTTGTAAGTTCAACTTTCATGATAAAGAGCTTGCACTACACTACTTGTATTAGGTGAATTGAAAAATACTATTTCTTTGTACAGTGCAAATATTTGTAATAAAAAATAAATATAAGGTGTGCATTGTACACTTTGTATTCTTTGTTATAACTGAATATATTTGAAAATGTAGAAAACATACAAAAATATTTAAATAAATGGTATTATATTATTGTTTAACAGCACAATTAATCGCAATTCATTTTTTTTAATCATGCGATTAATTGCGATTAATTTTTTTAATTGCTTGACAGCCCTAATAGTCATATAAATTTCCAATCCTTTTTAAAATGTTGCTAAATTCTTGGCTGCAATGAGTTCCACTGTCTAATTATGTGTTGTATGGAAAAGTATTTGTAACTAACTATCAGTTTTGAATTTGCCACGTTTTAATTTCACTGACTGTCCCCTTGTTCTTTCCATTTTATAACACAAAGCTCCCAACCTACTTTCTGTGTATCATTCATTTATTTGATACACTTGTATCATATTACCTCTTATTTGTCTTCTAAGATAAACAATCTATCAATCTCTGTTCATATGAGAGGTTTTTCCATGACCCAAATCATTCTTACCACCCTTCTCTGAACTCCCGCTAATTCTACAATTCAAACATATGTCAGCTTGGTAATGTGTACAATGTGGTGCTAAGCAACCCTGTAATTTATAAATGTTATCTAAACTCAGCCCAGTATAATACAGGTTCATGACTAATTCAGTAAGCAAAACAATACAAAAAAACAAACAAAAATCCCACATCGCACAATGTATTCCCCAAACAGGAGGCTTCATAACAAATATATTCAATCAAAAATTTAGAAACCATGACAACAAACTCTGATGAACCTTAAAGTTCCAAAACCTAAAACTTGTTCATGCTGCTTTAGTTCTCAAAACTAAAGACTTCACGCTGTCAACCTTACCTCACAATTGCTCAGTGGGACTATTGGTGCAGGTTACTATTCAGTGTAAGAATGGAAGAATCAGACACAGAGTTCATGGACAAAAGTCTATGTTTCTGACATGGCATTAACTTGAGAACCTTACTCATACCCCAGTATGCAAGAGAATAATGCATTAGAATACCATTTTTCAAAAGCACCTAAATCCCATTGAGTTTCAATGAGACTTGGGCTCATATGTGACTTAGAACCTTTTGAAAATTTACCGTACATTGATATACTGAATCTTTTTAAAATGCACACCAAAGGACATCTTAGCATGTTGTTGGAGACAGCATATTTGGAAGGAAATCGGTATTCAAGCCATAAAGAATTAGCATTTCACTCAAGTTGTACATCTCATGGATATTAATGTAAAATTGCTGTGGAGGCAAAAGACCATTCATCAAAAGAACCTAATTGCTTTTGACTACCTTTTCCTATCAGACACTCTTCTCTATAGCCTAATTGTCGCTTCATATTTCTAAAATGCTCCAAAAAGACTTTGACAATCCGACAGACAACAATCTCTGCCTTTTCACTGAGTAATATTCCATATCTTATTTGAACATATAGCATTGGAAAACGTATTTTTAAGAAGAGTGCAGCTGTTGTTTTTCAGTACTCTGTCATGTGCTACTCCAAGGACTCCAATTTTATCTGTAGGAGACCAATTTTCATGTGTGTCCAGGCTATGTTAGAAGCCCACAGGGGTTTCTAAAGCTCTGGAATAGCAAGGAATTTCTTTACATATCGATAGACTGGGGAAGGGGGAGGAAATTCTTCACAGATGTTTATCTTGGCACAATTCATTTTGCAGAAACGAAAGAATTCAGGCTTGAGAGTGAACTCTGGTCTCTTGTTCTGCAGGCCATTGCAGACTGAGACATGTTGCTCAAAGTTCTGGCTACCATTGTTGTCTTTCAGTAAACCAAACAGTCCTGAGGAATCTTACTCTGCTGCCTGTTTGATTTCCCAGTCTCAAATAAATTAAACCCTTGCAGATTAAATTCTGCACTTGGATGCGGACACCCAGCTGCCGCCGAAGTGAATGGGAAAAATATAACAATGTATTTGTCCATTTTCCAAAGCTTTCATGTGTTACCCAGAAAGATCAAGAAGCTCATGGGTACCAGAGGGTTGCACACTGTTGCTTCTGTAGACCAAGCTCATTGCAAAGACCATGGACTCTTTGCATCCCTCCATTCCCCCCACAAGCGCACAGTATGCCAGGCTCCCATTCCCCTCTATTTCAGGGACTCCCAACAACCCACGCCCCTTCCTTCATGACAGGGGCTCTCTGTGGCCCCCAATTTCCCTCTCCCGTCATACCAGAAACTCTGAGTATCCCCCTTTCTCCCATTCTCCTCGCATGTCAGCAGCTCTCTGTGCATCCTGCCCCATTTCCTTTCTCCTCTACCATGCTAGGGGCTCTATGTGTCCCCTCATTCCTCCCTACTCCTCTCTTTCCCTGCACCATTCTCATTTTCTGACTTGGGGGGGAGAAGCCTCCCAAGGTGTTCACTCTATTGAAACAATGGGCAGAGTAGAGATGGGGAGTCAGCCAGTTCTTTAACCTATAGACAAGTCCAGAGATGGTGGAAGCTGCTGGCTCCGCTAACCAAATCCAAGGAGCTCCACGTGCCCCCCACGTCCTGCTTGTGGTTTTCTATTTTTCACCAAAATGAACAGGATTCTTCCCACTGATGCCTAGAACACTCCCTGAAATTTTGGAATTGGTAGGATGTGGCATTCAGAAGTTATTGCATTACAGGCAGACAGAGAAATGCCTTCCAATTGAGCACAAACCCTTGCTTTGCTTATCTAATAAGCAGCCAAAAACTGAACTAAAGTTCAGCTGAACCTTTGGACATTGAATGTCAGCGTGGACATTGAATTAGAAACCCCATTATACACTCTCATGAAATTTCTGGTGCATCTGAGCTTCAGCAGTGCTAAAAATATTGTCCAACAAGAATAAACACTTCACCTCTCAGACCTAATCTAAACTAGAGCGTGTAGAGAAATGGGAGATTTTAAAAAGTTGCAAACTTTTGTACCTTTCCCACCCCACAAAAAAAAATAGCTTTAGATTTGGTTTAAAGTTTGTGTGAAAATTCAGGCTGGTTCTTATTCAAGTGATACATAAATGCAAGTTATTTTATTCAGACTAGTTCATCTAGTGTTTTAACCAAACACATGCACGCCTCTGGCTCACTTCCAAAGAGATCAAAATCAGCATGGCACCACGATGCAAGACCACATCACTTACCAGCCCATTGCAAGTGCTGATCACTGCTGGTCCATTCCCAGAATTTGGCTGCAAGACTGTACCAATGAGGTGACATGAGGTTCCTGAGTAAGGTACAATCTTTGCACCAGTGTGGTTCCCGTATCTCCTTTCCAGTACATAGTTAGCAGAAAGGAATCCTCGATGGACAGTCAAGTTAAAAAACAGATCCTTCTCCTTGTGGTTAATTTTATAATACACAAGGTTTTCCTTTCTACTGAAGTCTCTTTTCCTCCTGGCATCTGAGGTGTGATGGTGTAAACTGTAAGAGAGAAAATGGCCGCTTGCATCTACTTTTGCAGGACCAACCATGTGGTATTCTTGCAGTGTCCGGATAAAGTGCTCTGGGAAAAAAACCAAAGGGAACATTTTAGCTTTTCATAGAATCAAAGGCCTGGGAGGGACCTCAAGAGGTCATCTAGTCAGTCCCTGCGCTCATGGCAGGACTAAGTATTATCTAGACCATTCCTGACAGGTGTTTATCAAATCTTCTCTTAAAAATCTCCAATGATGGAAATTCCACAACCTCCCTAGACAATTTATTCCAGTGCTTAACCACCCTGACAGTTAGGAAGTTTTTCCGAATGTCCAACCTAAACCTCCTCTGCTGCAATTTAAGCCCATTGCTTCTTGTCCTATCCTCAGAGGTTAAGAAGAACAATTCTTCTCCCTCCTCCTTTTATGTACTTGAAAACTGTTATCATGTCCCCTCTGTCTTCTCTTTTCCAGACTAAACAAACCCAAAATTTTCAATCTTCCCTCATAAATCATGTTTTCTAGACCTTTAATCATCTTTTGTTGCTCTTCTCTGGACTTTTTCCAATTTGTCCACATCTTTCCTGAAATGTGGCACCGAAAACTGCATACAATACTCCAGCTGAGGCCTAATCAGCACGGAGTAGAGCAGAAGAATTTCTTCTCGTGTCTTGCTTACAACACTCCTGCTAATACATCCCAGAATGATGACTGCTTTTTTTGCAACAGTGTTACACTGTTGACTCATATTTAGCTTGTGGTCCACTATGACCCCCAGATCCCTTTCCACAGTACTGCTTCCTAGGCGGTCATTTCCCATTTTGTATGTGTGGAACTGATTGTTCCTTCCTCTTAAATGGAGTACTTTACATTTGTCCTTATTGAATTTCATCCTATTTACTTCAGACTCTTAGGATATAGATATTCAGGCCTGTCTGTAAAGGCCTATACTCTAAGAATTTAGGTGTATTCTTATCACTTGGCTAGTTATAGAGGCATAAAAGAAAGAATCAAAATCAGTCTGCCTGTGTAAGTTCCTTCTCTTACTGTGACAGTCTGAGGCCCTGTTCTTAGGCTAAGGCCTTTGGCTAAGCAACAGAGGCAGCCATAAGTTGGGAAGCGACCGGTCACATCCTCACATTCCAAACTAGTCACATTGAAAGAAGGTGCTATTGGGCTGTTAGGAATACAATCCTGTCCTGATAGTGCCTATCACCTCCAGAGAAAGGGAAGTGCCTCGAAAATGTAAAAGGAAACTTAGTTTGATAGCATCCTGTCTGGCAAAAACTCACTTATCAATAGCTGGGATGTGAAATCCTCACTTCTGTATTGTTTTGTCATTATAGTTCCCACTTTGCTATTGTTTGTCTGTATAATCTCTGTCTGGTTCTGTGATTGTTTCTGTCTGCTGTATAATTAATTTTGCTGGGCGTAAACTAATTAAGGTGGTGGGATATAATTGGTTACATAATCATGTTACAATATGTTAGGATTGGTTAGTTAAATTTCAGGAAAATGATTGGTTAAGGTAGAGCTAAGCAGAACTCAAGTTTTACTATATAGTCTGCAGTCAATCAGGAAGTGAGTGGGTCGGTGAGATGGTAACAGGGAATGGGGGTAAGGAAATTGGAATCATCTTTTGCTAAAGGGGGAAACGGGAAAAGAGAATGGGGATGGGGAAATTGGAATCATGTTTGGCTAAGGACAGGAATGGGAACAAGGACACAGGTGTAAGGCTCTGTGGTGTCAGAGCTGGGAAGGGGGACACTAAGGAAGGAAACTGGAATCATGCTTGCTTGAAGTTCACCCCAATAAACATTGAATTGTTTGCACCTTTGGACTTCGGGTATTTTTGCTCTCTGTTCATGCGAGAAGGACCAGGGAAGTAAATGGGTGAAGGAATAAGCCCCCGAACACAGACCATTACTCCAGTTTGTCCAGATCATTTTGAATTTTATTCCTATCCTCCAAAGCACTTGCAACTCCTCCCAGCTTGGTATCATCTGCAAACTTTATAAGTGTACTCTCTATGCCATTTTCTAAATCACTGATGAAGATATTGAACAGAATCAAACCCAGAACTGATTCCTGAGGGACCCCACTCATTATGCCCTTCCAGTATGATTGTGAACTACTCAAACTACTCTCTGGGAACAGTTTTCCAACCAGTTTTGCACTTATAGTAGCTCCATCTAGGTTGCATTTCCCTAGTTTGTTTATGAGAAGGTCAAGCAAGACAGTATCAAAAGCTTTACTTTTATACTCCAAAGCTTTTATCATTTCAGAACTCACATACATGAAAGGGAAACTCGTGGGGGAGGGGCTGATTCTCCACACCATTCCACAGGCATAAGGGGGTGCTGTGCAGTGCAAAATCAGGCCTGACTACTTCAACAGCTTCTCATTTGGGCTTTTTACACTCTCCCTCCTTAACACAAACCTTAAAAGCTTTAAAACATTTCTCCCATTCACATCCTTTCACATTTCAAACTCAACATCAACCGGTGGTATACATTGCCTTTGAGGACATTAAGCCAATTTACATCAGCTGTTGCCCGAAGACTCTTTCAGTCTAAAGGTATGAAATCCAAAGGATATTGTCAGAATGAATGTTCTTCTGATGCCCCTCAGCTATTATTTCCTATTCTAGAAACACCTATTCTTACACATGAAGCAATTAGACCCCACTCTGCCATACTTTGGTGTGTTTCTATTCTCTTTATTATAAGAAAATATTGTCTTTGATAATCCCATAGCCCTATGAATTCTGTTTTACCTTTATCATCTTATTGTCATGATTTTGTCCTGTTCATTAGCATTACCCACTTTTGTCATTTGGCCTGGCCTATCCTGTTTTTTCTCCTTTGTCATCATCATGTACTAACACAACTGACTGGACTCAACCCATCCTGGAAGGTGCAACATTCCCTCAGCTCCTACTGATTCCAGCAGCGGCAGAAGGGGCTCAAAATTTCTAAGGAGCTGCGAGGCACCTTGCAGGATTGAAGATCTGTGTTTGTACCTTTCAAATGATACAATGAAGTCTTCACTCAATAATGACTCTTACTTGACTGCGTAGGGGATGAAAACAAGGTGAATATTTGGACTATCTTCTTCAGGAAGGAAGGAAAATAGCTCTAAAATCTCAGCTGTCAGCCATGCCATAAAATTAGAGAAGTTTACACCATCCCCAGGTGCTATTTAAGGACTCATTTGTGAGTGCCACCAGCCAATTCAAAGAAGCAATATGCAACAACAGAAAATACTGGAATAGACCTGCAGATATTAATGCTGAAAAATTATGTAATGGACCAAAGAGAGTGAATTAATAACACACCAAAGTGTAACTAGAGGGGGGTTAAATGTATTTCTCACCAGTAATCAGTACAACTAAAATACTGATCTCTTGGTTGCTAAAAAGGGATTACCACAGGCACTATCAATACTGGAACACTTTCTTCAGCTCTATGTTAAGCCTCATTTTATTATTAAATCTAAAACAAAGACAAGAGGCACAATATCACAGTATCTTGTTGTTGTTCTGCAGTACAGTACTTCTAATGAATTCTCTAACAATGTCAGGCTGGGGAACGAACAGCCAGGGACGTATACTACTTCTAAAAACTATATACAGCCAAGAATGCCTTCAGGCTATTATCTTTCTATATCACCCCCTCCAACTTTCCTAAGGTAATATTTAATGGGTCCACACACAGATGTTAAAGGTTCTCATACAAATGTAATACTCTGCCCCCACCCCTGTTAATTCTTTTCTTTTAGCAAACTGTGTGAGCTTAGAGACCACAATGTTCACAGCGGCGTGGCATACTTCATTAGTACAGAATAAGATGTAATGTCAGGGCTGGCTCCAGGCACCAGCTCATAGAATCATAGAATAGCAGGGTTGGAAGAGACCTCAGGAGGTCATCTAGTCCAACCCCCTGCTCAAAGCAGGACCAATCCCCAACTAAATCATCCCAGACAGGGCTTTGTCAAGCCTGACCTTAAAAACCTCTAAGGAAGGAGATTCCACCACCTCCCTAGGTAACGCATTCCAGTGTTTCACCACCCTCCTAGTGAAAAAGTTTTTCCTAATATCCAACCTAAACCTCCCCCACTGCAACTTGAGACCATTATTCCACGTTCTGTCATCTGCTACCACTGAGAACAGTCTAGATCCATCCTCTTTGGAACCCCCTTTCAGGTAGTTGAAAGCAGCTATCAAATCTCCCCTCATTCGTCTCTTCCGCAGATTAAACAATCCCAGTTCCCTCAGCCTCTTCTCATAAGTCATGTGTTCCAGTCCCCTAATCATTTTTGTTGCCCTCCGCTGGACGTTTTCCAATTTTTCCACATCTTTCTAGTAGTGTGGGGCCCAAAACTGGACACAGTACTCCAGATGAGGCCTCACCAATGTCGAATAGAGGGGAACGATCACGTCCCTTAATCTGCTGGCAATGCCCCTATGTATACATCCCAAAATGCCATTGGCCTTCTTGGCAACAAGGGCACACTGTTGACTCACATCCAGCTTCTCGTCCACAGTAACCCCTAGGTCCTTTTCTGCAGAACTGCTGCTGAGCCATTCGGTCCCTAGTCTGTAGCGGTGCATGGGATTCTTCCGTCCTAAGTGCAGGACTCTGCACTTGTCCTTGTTGAACCTCATCAGATTTCTTTTGGCCCAATCCTCTAATTTGTCTAGGGCCCTCTGTATCCTATCCCTACCCTCCAGCGTATCTACCTCTCCTCCCAGTTTAGTGTCATCGGCAAACTTGCTGAGGGTGCAATCCACACCATCCTCCAGATCATTAATGAAGATATTGAACAAAACCGGCCTGAGGACTGACCCTTGGGGCACTCCACTTGATACCAGCTGCCAACTAGACAAGGAGCCATTGATCACTACCCTTTGAGCCCAACAATCTAGCCAAATTTCTATCCACTTTATAGTCCATTCATCCACCCCATACTTCTTTAACTTCCTGGCAAGAATACTGTGGGAGACCATGTCAAAAGCTTTGCTAAAGTCAAGGAACAACATGTCCACTGCTTTCCCCTCATCCACAGAGCCGGTTATCTCGTCATAGAA